CATATGTTTGGTACAAGTATTGCATTTATATACAAAAATGTTACTGTGAAATTTTTTTCCGATCGGTCCATAATTGGTCATAGCTCCAATACAAGATTCCCTTCCGAAAATCACTTAAAAGCACATAACTCATTACTAAAAATTGATATCGATACATTTAGCACAAATATTGGTCTTATATACATAAATCATCCTATACAATTTTTTCACGATCGGTCCATATTTGGTCATAGCTCCCATACAAGGTCACCACCAGAAAATCACTTGAATGCACAATATTCATTGCCAAATAATGATATAGATACAGAATTTAGCCAAAATTTTGTCTTTATATACATTAATGTTACTGTGGAATTATTTACGATCGGACCATAATTGGTCATAGCTCCCATACAAGGTCCTCTTACGAAAAACTCTTAAACGCACATTACTCATTACCAAACAAAGCTATTGATACAAAATTTTGCACAAATATTAGTTTTATATACAAAAATTATATTTTAAGATTTTTTCACGATCGCTACAAGCTTCCCTTCCACAAATCACTTAAACACACATTACTTATTACTAAATTACGATATAGATACAAAATGTCATATCTCCCATACTAGGTCCTGCACCGAAAATTTTAATTTCCTTAAATTTTTCACACAAACTATTGTAATTTTCAATAAATCTTGCAATTGTAACAGATTTAAGCTGTTTATAAATCTTGGGGTTTTTCTGTTTAAGACATGAGAAAAATTATTTCTACCAATATTTGATCAATTAAAGAAGTATTAATATAAAAGTAGTTGGTGGGGGGTATTTAAGATTCGGCTCAGCCGAATATAGCACTCTAACTTGTTCAATATCAATTCATCTAAAATTTCCACCCCAGGTACTGAATAGTAGAATAAAAACCTACTTCTGAGCAATAGCTTATTATATCTTATAAGTATAAAATAATATTATTCGACAATACGCTTGTTAAAAAGTTATTTTATCTCGTACGGAAATTATATTTTTTATATTAGGTTAGGTTTCACAGGCTGCGTACTAGCAAGAGTACAACGCCTTATAAGGAAAACCCATACATCTTGCATGGTTTCCAAATTTACAATTTGTTGAAACCTACAATTTAGGTAGTATGTTTTATAAGGAACCATACGAGGCTACAGCACCTTAGCAATTGAGCAAGTGTACTCGTGTGACCAACCGTCTTGAGCTGAATATCGGATACAGTAGTTTTCCGATTTAACGAACCCATATGTTGTCAGGCCTGTTCGTAAAATTGAAAAGTTCGTTATATGCAGTACTAACTAAAACGTGGGTTTTTGGTAGGAAAATAATTAAAAATATGTACATAAAATATTTTTTAAATGTATTTTATAAAAATTAATTCTTTTTTTTTTTTTTTAAATAGCACAAAACACAAAATTCCGAATCTTATATACCCACCTTCAAACCATATTTGTGTCGAATTTAATCGCTGTATTTTAAATTCAGTCATGAGCTTTAAAGTTATTTCTCGAAGTACATCGCTATACTCGTATTTTTAAGCGAGTAATGAGCGTTGAAGAAATTTTCTTAAGGGGGCCTGATATGGAGGGTAAGGTCAATTATGGACCGATTCCCATAAAATTTGTTAGAGATTTCGGTTAGTATAGAACAAGTTTGTATCGAATTTCATCGGCGTACTCGTATTGTTAAGCGAGTATTGAGTTAAAGTCATTATCTGAAGGACGGACATAGCTACATCGAACTAAAATTTAATAAGAACCCAGAATGTGTTACAGTTTTGGGTATAAAAGCACCGCTTAAAACAACGGTATAGTTTTTTGCTACAACTTAGGTTATTTGTTATTTTTGATAAATGTCATTTTATCTTCATTTAAATAATAATATTTTTATGAGTTCGTTAAACAGAGTACAAAAAACAAGTTTTGTTCGTTATTTAAGGTAGTCAATAGGAAAAATTAGCTTGTTCGTTAAATGCGATGTTCGTAGAATTGAATGGTCGTTAAATCGGAAAACTACTGTATATGGTTTTTAATTGCCGTAAACACTACAGAACTGGTCTATATCAACGGTATATTGGGTTTGTCCCGAGTATGGCTTTTGAGCTCATAATTATGTTTAATATACTCGTATCTCGACAAAAAACCCCCTTCAAAAGATGACATTGATGTCCAAAATTCACAGTTAAATTCAGCATAAATACATTTTATGTAAGCGTAAATTCATCCTCCAAATTTTATGAGGATCGGCTCATATGGGTCATCTTAAGTGTAAAAAATTACTTAATGAATAATGTAATTCGATTTAAAAAGAGGCCGAAATGTTTAAAACTTTATGATCCTGCTTATTTTTTAATCAAAACCTATTAAAATTCTCTTATTTAATAGTTTATAATGTATAAATTTAGCGGAAAAAATCCCGAAAATCCCCGGGATTTAATTTTTAAAAATCCCGGTTTTCTGTATTTTCAATTCCCGTTTGGCATCCCTAGTATGTACATACATAGATACAAAATTTGGCTCAAATATTTCTTTTATATACAGAAATATTATTGTAAAAATATTTCAAGATCGGTCCATAATTGGTCAAAGCTCCGAAAATCACTAGAGATATTTAGAACTTTTTGACAACAAATATATATGTATGTATTTATAACAGATTTAACGCTTTATGAACTCTAATACCAATTTTACGGGACCACGATCTCGAAGATGACAATAATTATAAAGCCTAAGCATCATCTTTAAATTGTATATATTTAATTTCTAAAAGTGGGAAAGCTTACGAGCTCCATTCAAACAACGAACATGTGCGAATTAAAAAAATAAAGTTAAGTCGGACATGGTATGATACTCCAATTACGATTATATTTATGAAGGATATTTTGTGTGGGGGTTAGAGTTAGAGAGATTTTTTGACTAGTACATAACATCTCTTTTACATTTTATTTTAAAGTATTTTTATTGATTTGTTAAAAAGTTATTAAAATTACGGCCCCCAGAATTAATCGCCACTTTAGGTGCCACTGTGAATCTGTCCATAACAGGTCATATCTCCCATAAAAGTTCACCTCCCGAAAATCAATTAAACGCATATTAGTAATTACCAGGAAAACCAAAAATATGCTCTAAAAAAAGTAGAGCATATTTTTAAATATGCAGTAAAAAATCTTAAAATTTTAAAAATATGTTCCAAAAATTAAAGTTTTAATTACTTTACAACATTGAAAAGCTGAAGAACTAGTTTAATAGGATTTCGTTTAACGCTTAGTTAACCAATAAATAACAGGAAGCCACATTTGGCAAAATTTCAAGCGACATAGGTTGACACATTACTTCCAATTGTATTCATAGCTTCTAAACTGACATTAATATCGGTGTTGCAATTGAACCCAATAATTATCGTTACTAGTTTTTTAAACGACAAAAATGAATTGGTCTCATGAATCCAAAGTTTTATGGTTTTGTGTCCGATTTAAAATGTAATGCTTTATCAAATAAAATACTATAAAATTGGTTTTCATGATACTAATGTATATTTTTGCAACGTTTCGAAACGGTTGCCGTATCGGTATTTTGACTTATTTCGGTATTGGTATTTTAGCGTTATCGGTATTTTGGCTTATTTCGGTATTGGTATTTTAGCGTTATCGGTATTTTGATACATACAATCATAAGTACGTAAGCTGTACGTAAATAAATTGACTATCTCTCGCAAAATTATTTATTACGACATCAGCTGTTCAAGCATTGAGACATGTTGTCAGTGATGATAGAAGAGGGAAATCATAACTTAGTTGTATAAAAAAGGTACAAACAGTGTTGGCTAACATGATTTGGTAAAGATAACATAAAAATTATTGCCCAAGATATTGCAGTGTACTAAAAAAATCTATTTAGCTGGACAAATTAAATTTTAGCTTGAGACTGGACAAGCCAGCCAAGTCTAGCCAGGCTGGCAACCCCAGGGTAGGGTGAGTTACCGACAATTCGGTAGCAGGATTGGTTTGAAACTTTTGTGTACAGAATTTCATCGCTTTACTATGTATGTATGTATGTATGTATGTATGTATGTATGTATGTATGTATGTATGTATGTATGTATGTATGTATGTATGTATGTATGTATGTATGTATGTATGTATGTATGTATGTATGTATGTATGTATGTATGTATGTATGTATGTATGTATGTATGTATGTATGTATGTATGTATGTATGTATGTATGTATGTATGTATGTATGTATGTATGTATGTATGTATGTATGTATGTATGTATGTATGTATGTATGTATGTATGTATGTATGTATGTATGTATGTATGTATGTATGTATGTATGTATGTATGTATGTATGTATGTATGTATGTATGTATGTATGTATGTATGTATGTATGTATGTATGTATGTATGTATGTATGTATGTATGTATGTATGTATGTATGTATGTATGTATGTATGTATGTATGTATGTATGTATGTATGTATGTATGTATGTATGTATGTATGTATGTATGTATGTATGTATGTATGTATGTATGTATGTATGTATGTATGTATGTATGTATGTATGTATGTATGTATGTATGTATGTATGTATGTATGTATGTATGTATGTATGTATGCATGTATGTATGTATGTATTTATGTATGCGCGTATGTGTGTATGTATGTACATATGTATGTATGTATGGGAAGCAGATATTCGAAATATATCGGAGTTTGAAACTCCTGCTATCTCGAACACTTTTTTAGCTGAATCCAAAATACAACATACACTAAAGTTACTAGCTACTCTATCCAGGATAAGAGTACCACTTTTTTAATTCTTATACAAATTTGTGTTTCAAATGTGTCACAAAGTCCATGGACATTATAACACTTTTGAAAGTGAACGTTATGTCCATAGACAATATGACTCTTTTTGGTGTGACACTGGACATTATGACAATCCACAGTGCGTAAAATTCGCAATCCTGTTTAAAATTGTAATTAACATTTTTTTTATTTTTTGTTACTTATTGTACATTTTATATTTTCATTTAAACAATGAATGAAACACATTTAGTGGAAAACCCCAATTAGAAATGAACATATTTGTCCCAAAAATCTGCTATAAATTTTATTTCATTTGTTGGGTGTCTGTGGGTAACGACGAATATTTATAAAATATTTTCGTTCATTGTTCTTTCCATTTGGGGTCCATTAGCGTTTTTACTTATTTTAGGGCATTTTATTGTGTAGGAATGTTGTTCCAATGTTGAAATGAAAGTTTGTTTATAAAACCGTATGCTAATTAAAATTCCCATGTTGATAACCATTTTAGGCCGTGCATTGTTGAGTTGGGTTCATTAGCTAAAGGTCCACTCATTCCATATGCAAGTGGTGAGAACAACAGGAAACTATAAACCAGCACTGACATCAAACCACCCAGCAGTGAATGTTGAATCCACCTTGGCAAGCGGCCAGTTATATAATGAAACATAACTCCTGCAAAGGAAAGTAAAACATTAATTAAATTAATAGAAAATTGTGTTTAATTCGATAAGAAATAACAACTAAGAATATACTCGGACATGACCGACCACATGACACCCTACACCACATATTTATTAAAATACATTAGGGACCGATCCTAGAATTTCATTAAAATGCACATTGGTGAAATGTGAAATTTTCCAGTTTGTTGCTAAGACATTACGAAAATGTGGACCTTTAACTCCAATAATTCTTTGCAAACACCAAGGATAACAGGATGACATAAACCCATGTCTGATAAGGAAAACGCTCATAAGGTAGCACCCTTTAAAATATTAAATTACTCAAAAAGCGCAAAAATTCGCAATTTGCGGCAAAGTGAAACTAACTCATAACATTTCAGGAACAGTGCTTAGCATTTCGCAAAAAACAATTGCGAATTTGAATATATTGGTGTATTGGTATGGGATGATATCAAAAAATAAATTATATTCACTGTTCCAAAGTTCGAATTTCGCACAGGAAAACTGGTGTTTGAACCATAGTGCTATTCTAGTATTTAATTAATGACGTTCAAGTCATTTTTTGAGAAGGGTTTTGTCAAATAAGCCTCGATAATTACGATAAAATCTGAAGTATTATTTCATGATAGAACTGAACACTACCGTAACTTCAAGCAAAAACGTTGTTAAAACGACATAGGCCCATATTAAAGCTACGGCAGTAACTTCAAATTCTCTCATATTTCTTTTTATTTTCTTTTGTTTTTATTTTTTGTTGCATATTTACATGGTTTTGTTTTTAAAATACCACCTCGAAAGAATTATAGGATACAAGACAACTAGTGAAGTCAATAGCTAATTTATAACTAACTATAACTAATTTATTTTTCACATAATTTCTATAGAAAATTCAAAGTTTATTAGTTTTTAATAATAAACAAATAATTTTTTGTATGAAATTTTAAAAATTGTTATTGTGTTCATCAAGAAATAAAATTATAAATATTGAAATTTGTTTTATATGCCATTCACACCAATTCAAAAACTAATTGGGTTTTGAAAAACTAAATTTCAAAAACCAATACGTTTACACCATGAGTTTTTGAATTTTATTTACCAATACATACGCACATTCACATAATTTTAATAATGTTTTTTAATTAAACTAAATTGAAATTAGTATTATTTTCAAAACAATACGTTGTAAATTTTAAAATATGTATTTTTTCTTTTTGACATTTTCTTTTAAAAAAGCTTTTTAAAAGCTCAGCCAGAGATGGAAGTTTGGATTTTTGTTATTTTTATTGGGTTTTGTTTGGGTTTTTATCATAAACTAGTTGAAAGTAGTTTTTGATTTGTATGGAAAAACCAAAGAAATTTTAGTAGTTTTTCAAACAAAAACCAAATTAAGCTAAAAACTACTAGTTTTTGTTTGGTGTAAATGGCATATTATCAAAATCGGAGAGGGTAAAAATCCAAACTTCCATCTCTGGCTTAGCTTTTAAAAAGCTTTTTTAAAAGAAAATGTCAAAAAGAAAAAATACATATTTTAAAATTTACAACGTATTGTTTTGAAAACAATACTAATTTCAATATAGTTTAATTAAAAAACATTATTAAAATCATTTCTAAAATAAAAAAGTGCATATTGTGGGAAAAATTATGTGAATGTGCGTATGTATTGGTAAGTAAAATTCAAAAACTCATGGTGTAAACGTATTGGTTTTTGAAATTTAGTTTTTCAAAACCCAATTAGTTTTTGAATTGGTGTGAATGGCATATAAAATCCTGTTAGAAAAGTTTTAAAATGCCATTAAATAATTTTTATACTAAAAAAAAAATTGATAATAATTATTTCGGGGCTGTGAACTTCAAATCTATGTTGCTATTAAAAATATCTATGTACAACAACATTGAAGTTATTACGAAATATTTTCCAAAAATGCTTACCGCTTGGAAACCCTAATAAGTATCAATCATTGTATATAAAAATTTGTAAGTATTTATCTGCAACATCATTATTACATTTTGTGTGTTAACATCAACAGCTTTACATAAACTACCTAAATTTAGTTAAAATAATTTAAAAGCCTTCAAGTAAAATTCATATTTTTTCTTACAGATGCAAAGGTCAGAGTAATGTAAGAGGAAGTCAAACGATACCTTAAGACATGTTAAATTGAAATTTTAATATTTATTATTATACATATTTTATATATTATACATATTTTTTCTTTTTTCTATTATTCCTCCTTTCTCCAAATCGACGTTGGTGTCATAAACGGAGTTGTGAGTAATAATAATCTTATATGAAGAATGGTGTGTATAAGATGTTAGAATAAAATATATTAAATGAATTTTGTATAATTGGCAATTTCTCTTATTTGGGCATAATGCAATATTTACATTTCGAGGAAATTTAATGATTAAATTGTAAAATATAAATATTACCTGATAACATCGAATTAAATATTAAAGCAGGGAAGTAGTGATGAAAATACAAAACACGGCCCATGGCCCAAAATGGCAAGTAGTGTATAATCCATCCAAAAAATAACCAAATTGCCGCTTCCAGCGTCATGGAATTAATCGATGATTCTGAAAAAGAAATGCATGAGGTAATTCTTTGTACAAATAATTCTTAAACGATGCGTATTATTGTGCAGAACACGGAATGGGCTGAATAGGAAATTTAAATGAAATTTACCAGACATACATATGTATATTGTCACCATATATAAATTTTGTTCGATAGTTCATAGCAATGAACACCAAGAAATGAAACTGTGACGTTTTTTATAACAATGACGTTACGCTCTTCTCACGGACGTGTTCTGTGTAACTCCAACTCTCTCTTATAGAAAATATTAAAAGAAATATTTTAAATTTAAAGGTTGCCTTTCTTGATATAGAAGGCGCTTTTAATAACGTCAATCCTGCATCTATCTGCCAATCTCTATCTCGGGCTGGGTTTGGTAGGTCCGTTGTGGGATTTGTCGAGAATCTTCTCTCAAATAGGATCATTGAATCCTCCTTAGGAGATACAGTAATCTCTAGAAAAGCTTTAAGAGGTACTCCACAAGGGGGAGTACTATCACCACTCTTATGGAACATGGCCATAAATGATATTCTGGTAAAACTAGACTCTCTTGGCTATAAAACAGTCGCCTATGCTGATGATGTCGCGGTTGCGGTATCAGGCGATCACCTTGAAACTATATCCCAAAGGCTAGAACAAGCACTAAAGATCATTAGCTCGTGGAGTGTCGAATGTGGTCTTAGTGTAAATCCTAGTAAAACGCAACTTGTGCTATTCTCTAGCAAATACAAGATTCCTTTATTTCCGCTTCCTTGCCTTAACGGCGAAGTATTAAAACTCTCGGACAGCGCTAAATATCTGGGCGTTATCCTAGATAAGAAACTATCTTGGAGTACAAACGTACTCTCTAGGGCATCTAAAGCCATCACGGCACTATATGTTTGTAGGAAGGCCATAGGAACATGCTGGGGCATAAATCCAATGAATGTTCACTGGCTCTTTGAGGCAGTTATTAAACCTATTATGCTATATAGGGTTGTTGTCTGGTGGCAGGCGCTTGAAAAGGCTTCACTCAGACAACAACTGGAAAAAGTAATGAGATCAACTGCGCTTCTTATCACAGACGCTCTCAGAACAACTCCTTCGAAGGCGCTGTTCACTATGCTCAACTGGCTCTCGGTCGATCTCCTTGCAAGGAAATTGGCTATGTCAACTGCGGCCAGATTGAGTGTAACTGGCAAATGGAAACAATGCTCCATAGGCCATGCTAGGATCATAGATCTTATACCGGATAATCAGTACATTGTTGATTATTGTATTCCAGTACCGTCTCTAGTGAGAAAGTTCCAATATCATATCTCTTCGGAGTCTGAGGAATATCTCCTTCCGCCAAATAATTGCTTCCGAGTGTATACAGACGGATCCAAGACGACGAAAGGAGTTGGTGGTGGCATTTTCATTGAGGAATTTGGAACAAAAATCTCCTTCCGACTTAATGATGAATGTAGTATCCTTCAGGCTGAAATATCGGCGATAAGGAGGGCGGTAAATTGGCTAAGGTACTATCGGATATCTAATAGGGATATCAGAATTTATACTGATAGTCAAGCTGCTATTAAATCCCTAACTGGTGTGTTCTCCACATCCAAAATTGTCCATGAATGCCGGACGTCTCTCAATGAGATGGCGAGACATTCGAACATCACCCTAATTTGGGTAAAGGGACATGGGAATTCGTATGGCAACGGTATTGCTGACACATTGGCAAGAGCTGGCACTATGCTTAGCAGAATGGATATAGATCAGTTCTGCGGTATACCACTACTTGCAGTTAAGAGGCAAATCAGTGAAAAATGCCTCTGCATCGCTCGCGACAAACGGTCGCGTGAACACAAGTGCTCAACATGTAGAGTACTGTGGCCACAAATGGATCCTCAAAGGTCTAAATATCTTCTTGGTCTCCAAAGACCGCAGTTAAGTAGGCTGATATCGATAATCACTGGCCACTGTAAATTTGGGAACCATGCCAGACGCATTGGTCTCCCGTTCAACGATTACTGTAGGAGTTGTCAAAACGAGGATGAAGAAGAGACTATTACTCATCTTCTCTGCGATTGTCCTGCTTTGGCGGAGGCCCGTTTTCAGACGCTTGGATCGACCTATTTTGGTGATCTAACCGAATTGTCAAACATTCAATTAGAACGTCTTCTAGAGTTCATTAATTTGTCAAAATGGGTGTGAATCCTATTACTCACACTACTCATCCACGGCAGCTGCCCTGGCTTTCTCATTTCTCATCATCTCCTTCTCTTTGCAACTGTCTCTGTTCTTTCACTCTCCTCTATCTCTCCCTCTCTTCTCTTTTCTTCTTCTTACAGGTATTTTTACAAAGGGATCAACATGGACCCAAGTAAAGCCGAAATTGGCTACCTGTGTAAACCTAAAAACCTTTAAATGTAATAATTTTTTTCTCAATATTTTCAAATCCAACTTTTTGCAACTATGTTGGCTTGAGAATTCTACTAATACATTCATAGAGTTAAGTACCGACTGACAGTAGACTTCTACTACTTCTTGATATTCAGTGGCACTGAATGTGTAATCAATTATAATTATTTGTAATTGAGGTTTTGCTAACTACAATGTAATTTGTTTCCTCTCAAAGACATTTCAAGTAATTTTAAAATTGTTTATCATTGTATATCATTCAAAAAAAAAAAAAAAAACTAAAAGAGGACCTATATATTTTTTCCATACAATAAGGGCCTGTTCCTCTAAACACTAACGAATTTTTCTTTCTTATTGTTTATTGTTTTCAATGTACATACATATTTATGTGCATAAATATACGAAAAAAAATTCGTTCCAATTTATAGAAACAGGCAGTAAATTAAAGTGACTGTATTTAACATATACATACTTGGATTAGCCTTTAATTCGCATCCACCATCAATATTCTTAGTTTTGATAGTCATTAATTGTAAATATCGAATGCCATCTTCGCGTCTCTGTTTAATGGCATTGAAAACAAACACTATTACAAATAATGTCAGGAATACTAGATTGCTCCACCAAATGATTGGATTTCCCAATAAATAAATTCGATACGAACTGCCGGAAAAAAATTGTCCCTATTAACAGAAGAATAAAAAATATATAGAGAGCTATATTATATGTATGTACATATATAATGCATTCATCTCATGAATTATTTGAATATATTAAAATTATTACTTACTCGATAATTAATAGGCCATTGCCAGGGACGACTTGTAATCTCGCCTTCTTTTGGTTTAAGTCCAGCGTTGCCTTGAAACATGACGGCATGTGATTCCATAAATCTTGCTAAAAATCCAGGAGCATAAACACTGAAGCTAACGCTAGACACTTGAAATAAATTAACAATCAGTAATATTGTATCATAAATTTTTAAATTAATCGTTGTTTGCTAATTCATCGAAAAGTTTAATTCGAATATTTAATTTATAACGATGAATAACTTTTTAAGAAAATAAATAAAGCAAAACCTTAGTACTGAAAAACATTTATCATCCTGATATAAGAAAAAATAAAAAAAAAACAGTTTAAGTCAGACATACGCGAAGAGCCACCGTAAGAGATCTCTGGCTTTTCCTCATTCACACGTACGTACGTCATTCTTGTAGTTTTGAAGTTTTTTGATTGAGATACACACAGAGAAATCTCTGATGTTAAATTCCTGATAATTTCCTGTTTGCCGAATGTTATTTTTTCTAAGTGAATGAGTTAAATAATAAAAATTTGAAAAAAAGTTTAATCATCGACACAAACTCCTAAACAAATGTAATATCCGCTACTATGTTATTTCCTGACATATAAGCCGATTTCCGTCAATGTCCTGATAATATTTTCATTTAATTGACATTTAGAGCACTCCATATGAGTGCAAAACATCATGGAGGATATTTTTATGCACATAACAATCCATCATTTGTTAAATTTTGTAAAATCTTCCATTATTTATTTAGTTTTAACTGCACGAAGCATATATTAAGTTTCACCACATATCTTAAATTGCAAATAAATGCATTTCCGACGGCAATGATCAAAAATAATAGTTTATGCTTTAGTTTTTTCTAACATATATTCATACAAAATTCAAAATGTAACGCTTTTTTGTCATTTCATATAGAGTACACTGTAAAGTAGTACACTATACAACACTAGAAAATGTTACAAACTTTTCTTTCAGTGCAAAGAATGCAAAAACAAAAACTGAAGTGGTGTTAGTAAGGCAAGAAAATTTTACGCTCTGCCGATGTAGGGTTTAAGTTCAGACGTACTTTTAGGTTCTCAGCTATTTTTCTCTATCACCTCTAAAATTTTCAAAATGATAAGTTATTTTGCATTTTAGATGAAGATACTATATACTGAACTGTAGTAATTTTTTCTGTATGAAACATATTCAAACAAGTTAGAGTCCTATATTCGGCTGAGCCGAATCATAAATACCCTCCACCAGCTACTTTTATATTAATACTTTTTTAATTGATTAAATATTTGTAGAAATAAGTTTTCTCATGTCTTAAATGGAAAAACCCCAAAATTTAAACAGCTTAAATCTGTTACAATTCCAAAATTTATTGAACATTACAAACCCCATTTTCTTTTATATTTTTATAGCGCCCTAAGATATGCTTTAACGATATTTAATAATGTGCATGTATGCATGTGTGTGAAAGATTTAACCCAATAAGCAAAAACCTTTGAAATGATGTAAATGTGTATTTGAAAACCTATTCAAATTTCATACATAGCCTTTGAGAACAAATTTGAAAATTTTTGTTTTCAAATGGAAAATTATGGCCTTCTCAAACAAAAAGGCAGTTAGAAATCAAACGTATTTTTCAAATGTATTTCAAATTTAAAAAAAGGCTAGAGGTAAGCTTGAAACTAAAAAAATTTTCAAACGTATTTCAAGTATTCTTTATTATTATTTTCATACCTATTTCAAACCCTAATTATAATAAAATAAAACATTCATACATTTATTTTAGCATATTTTTCTTTTATATCTCCGATTATTTCTCCTATATTTAACGTTTTTTCGCTCCCTTGCTGTAGAAAAAATGTTCTGTTTTTATTTTTCTAAAATAATTTATTTTTTGAAAGAAACTTTTCTAAGTTCAATTAAAACAAAACTTTGAAAATTTTATAAATATCACACATTATATTTTTTTAAGCGTTTTTTTAAATTATCATGTTTATTTCAAAGGCTAAACTTTAAAATTTGAAAACAATTTGGAAAATACATTATTTAGTTAAGAAAATTTTCAAAAATATTCACAGGTTTGAATCGATGTTTATTGGGAAGGATTTTCAAAATACATATATATAATTTTGTTTTACACAAATTGATAATGCAACTAGTTAAATACGGTTAAAGTGCTTTTAGGGGCAGGACCTAGTATGGGAGATATGACCAATAATAGACCGATCGTAAAAAATTCTTCAAGCAAAATTTCTGTACATAAAAGCTATATTTCAGTCAAATTTTGTATCTACATATATCGTAATTTAGTAATAACCGATCGTGAAAAAATCTTGAAATAGAATTTTTGTATACCAAACTAATATTTGTGCCAAATTTTGTATCAATAGCTTTATTTGGTAATGAGTAATAGGCGTTTAAGAGATTTTCGTAAAAGGACCTTGTACAAGCTATGACCAATTATATATATAAAGACAAAATTTCAAAATCTGTATCTATGTATATCATTATTTGGTAATGAATATTGTGCATTTAAGTGATTTTCTGGAGGGGACCTAGTATGAGAGCTATGACCAAATATGGACCGATCGTAAAACAATTTTATCACTTAAACGCACATAAAATGAGTTATGTGCGTTTAAGTGATTTTCGGGAGGGAACCTTGCATGGGAGCTATGACCAAGGATGGACCGATCGGAAAAAAAATTAACAGTAATATTTCTGTATGTGAGAGCAATACTTGTACCAAACTTTATATGGATAATTTAATTTAATAATTGGTCATAGCTCCCATACAGGGTCCCCTCCCGAAAATCACTTAAACGCACATAACTCATTTTATGTGCGTTTAAGTGATTTTCGAGAGGGGACCCTGTATGGGAGCTATGACCAATTATGGACCGATCGGAAAACAACTTCATAGTAATATTTCTGTGCATATGAGCAATACTTATTCCAAATTTTATATGGATATCTTAATTTAGTAATGAGTTATGCGCGTTTAAGTGATTTTCGGGTAGGGTCCTTTTATGGGAGCTATGACCAATTATGGACCGATCGGAAAAAAATTTCATAGTAATATTTCTGTATGTGAGAGCAATACTTGTACCAAATTTTATATGGATATCATAATTTAGTAATGAGTTATCTGCATTTAAGTTATTTTCGGGAGGGGACCATGTATGGGAGCTATGACCAATTAAGGACCGATCGGAAAAAAACCTTCACAGTAATATTTCTGTGCATATGAGCAATACTTATTCCAAATTTTATATGGATATCTTAATTTAGTAATGAGTTATGTGCGTTTAAGTGATTTTCGGGAGGGGACCTTGTATGTTAGCTATGTCCAATTATGGACCCATCCAGAAAATTTTTTCTCTCAATGAATTCTATTGACATAAGATTTTAAGTTGTAAAATTAAAATCTTAAAAATGAACACTAAGAAGTGAAACGCTGTCAAAAAGTACCTAAGTCTACTGTCAGTCGGTACCTAACTCTAAGAATGTATTAGTAGAATTCTCAAGTCAAGTCAAAAATCGGATTTAAAAATATTGAAAAAAATTATTACATTTAAATTTATATTTTAAAAGATTTCTTTAAATATTTTGCAACATAATTTATCTATAAACATTATATATGAATACATCTTTGCTTTTTAATCTGCAATATTGAAATAATAAATAAATTATTTGAATTATTTTTTCTTGTACCATACGAAAATTTACAACATTGTTTTTTTTAAGTTTTAATTTTAACAACAAAAATTAAATCTTTTCGGGCTACTAAATATATTTAAAGTGTGCAAAAAAATAATAAAATATAACGTTAAGTGATGAATAATATATTCAAGTGGTATAAGCCACGAATTTTCGCGACAAAGTTTTGAAGTTTGGAGAGAGAGTAAGATTCTTACATATGTGTTGGAGTTACACAGAACTCGTCTGTGAGAAGAGCGTAACGTTATTGTTGTAAAAAAAATGACAGCGTTTCACTTCTTAGTGTTCAGTGATATCAGCATTCTGACAGAAGTTATTAACAAAAAACTCATTTTCCGGGAATATGTACTTTTGTATGGGAGGTATATGAAATTATGGACCGATTCTGGCAATTTTCAGCAGGAATCAAGATCTTGTGTAGAAACGAATGTATCAGCATGTACATCAGAATGTATAACTTTTCCCGATGTGAACCGATTTTGCTCATTTTCAATACCAATTTGTACCGGATAATAATGAATATTTTTGCTGAATTTCGTTAATTTCCATTGCACAGACATAAAGACGGACGTACAGACGGACATAGCTAAATCGACTCAGAATTTCATAAGGACCCAGAATATATATACTTTGTTGGGTCTCAGATGAATATTTCTTGGTGTTACACACGGAATTACAAATTTATATATACCCTCTATCACCACTGATGGTGGTGGAGAGTATAAAAATAGTTTGGCATTTAATTTTTTAAAATTTATATGCCCCTTATAACTAAATAAAATCATAAGTACACTAACAAAAATTTTCCCCCGCGATAAGCTCAAAATAACGGTATTTTTGACACCCAATTCGAAAAGATTGCAGCAATTTTTTTTTGAACAAGTAGAAAACTGAGGACCTTTTCAAAAAAAATGCTTTTTTATTTTTCTCGTATTAAGTACTTTGAAACACATCGTTTTAGAGGTATTCCTCCTAAAAAGTGGTCCACGGGACACTCTAATGTACATATGTCTTAAAAATTTGCGATTGCGTTTGTAATATCCACGATATAATTTTCCAACCCTATAAAAAATATACAGTGTCTCTTCAGGTGTACTTTGAAAAGAAATATAATTAAATTTTTTGTATGTAAAAGGAACAATTAAATTTTTTATATTATCCAGGGAGTCCTAAGATTTAATATCACACTATCTAAAATTTGGAAAAATTACATTTACTTACAATAATTTACCTTTTTTTAAGAAAATTCCCTAAAAAGTATTCGAATTTTTCCTGTATTTCACATTTTATCATGTTATACGAAACATACAAATTAGAATCAAATGTTTTTTTTGCTTAAAATTGTCTAAAGAGGTTACTATTTACCGAAGAAATATATTTTTGGGCCATTTGAAATTTTGGGGCGATTGTACCATCTTTAAAGTGGCGGTTTTGACCTTATTTGCATTTTTTTCCTTTTTTCCAGAGATTAAACTAAAATTTAATATTGGGATTTAATAAACCTCTTGAGGTATCTAAAAATAATATTTTTGTTGTAAGGATCTGTACTTAAACGTTCCATGATGTATTCTTGTGAACATTCTTCTGTTTCTAATGGAATTATTATGACGAGATTAATTGTTTTTCAAATGGCCGTGAAAATATTTCACTGTGTGAATTTTTTGTGCTAACTTTTTTAGTTTTTGTGATAGAAAAAATATTGGTCAGTGATAGAACGTCAATAATAGTGAATAATAAGACATAATAATTTTTTTGATAATATAATCTGAAGCCCGAAAAAATTGAAATTAAACCCCAGAACTGCCCGTGGGACACATTTGCCAAATATATGTAATGCTTGTGATGTAGAAAAAAATTTGGTTAAAATATAGAAAAAATCTGTAATAATTTGTTTTAATTTTTTTTTTGTTAAGTTATGTGAAATAAACAATAAATATCTGGTTTATTATACTTTGTTTAATGAAACAAAATATATAACACCGAAATAAGTTACTATTTTTTAAATTTTTTGGTTTATTTTACTAATGACAAATCTGCCTCATCATCTTGGCGTATTTACCCCATGGATGTGGTAAATGAGTCAGTTCAGAAAAGTAAAAAAAAATATCTACATTAGGATGACTTAGGTAAGATTGAAAGGGATAAAACTAAAGCCAACATATCTATGTATCCGAACCAAGAAAAAAAGTTAAGAATATGTATTAATTAATTTCAATTTGAGGCCGCATCAAAAAAAGTGGCTATGGTTCTTGGAAGTGATATTATTCCGGAAATAAAATTTCTGACTAACACTGATTGGAAAATTCTTAGGAATTATGTCCAGGAAACTGAGTTTCTGAACATTGAAAAATAATATATTCAGTGAATTTTTTTTTTTGTGAAAAGGAGCGCACAACAGGACCGAAAGTGGCCTAGATGTATTTGATGTACTATACATCCTCCTATCAACCTAACCTAATTTTTTATTTATTTTGCATATATTTCTTGGTTTCTATTCATAGCATACCTAAATTCGAATACTTATGCGAGACACTGTACGTATATTCTTTATATCCATTATGAAAATACGACTAAAAAATACGTCAATTTTAAAACCCATAAAAAGCTAAAATAATACGACTCTCGAACCCACTAAATATCATTTTCTATAGCTTGAGACCCGTTTAAAAAATGTATATATTTCTTTTCACAAATTATACTGAGGTCAGGATTTTCAATCGCTGGTAGGGAACTATGGATTGAGAGGATTCACATGAATTTCTTAAACAGGCTGTTCGGGGCACTCTAATGTATAAGTTCATTGTTTTATTTCGTATTAATTAGTTTTTATTGAAAACCCCGTTATATGAAATAGAACAATTAATATTATTTTAAAGATTCTTTACTCACAGTTCTTATGTTTGTTGTCTTCAATATTCCAATTGGAATTTTTATCTCGAACATTCAGATTGCATGAAACTTCCTGTTGTTCAAAACCCCATTTGGGCAGTTGTTTTCCACTTGATGTCAAACTGCAGCTTTGTAAGTAGTGGATCAATTTAAACTTTGTTGTAACAGTTTTCACAGTATCATTACTTTTACCTCCAACAATTAACAGTTTCCAAATGTCATTAGCATCTCCAATACCTTGCTAGATTTATTTGAATATTAATTGTTATATAAATGATACACATAGTACAAAAACATATAAAAACTTACTTCACCGTAACCAGTAACTTGTAAATGTTTTTTAGTCACCGGCGCTGGTTCGTTATGAGAATGAAGATTTCGGTGAGTAGACACATGTTCCAAACGAATAAGGTCTCCATGTTTCACTATTTGAGTACCTTCGAAGGTTTCTTTATTATATGGTTTTATTAGCCACTTGTTGTTGTCGTCTTTGTGGGTGTAAGTAGTAATCTTCATGAAAACGTAAAACATTTAAACAAAAACATACATATACAGTTACTTTTTGCAATAATTTTACCTTTTTTAAGTTTTTAAAATCTTTTTGTTTATACTAGCATATTCAACAACTTACTTTTTAATAGTATCATTGTTGGATATACCGTTTATATGTATTTGTATGCATTTAATTTAATATTAAAGTTTTAAATTGAACCAAAATTAATATTGTAGATCTTACCTGTTGCTGTTTAGCTCCAAACCCTTTTGGATACAAATGAAAATGTGAATGCAAGTAACCTCCGCCAGTTTTATGATTTTTAATTGTCACTATCGATCCATACGCAACTTCACGGGGCATACTGGCATTATATAGCGAATTTCCAATGAGATGTGATTGAAAAGCCGAACTATAAAAACCATCCCCATTGCCACTGCGATTTAATACTTGTAAATGTATGTAGAAGAATGTCATGTAGAGCAGTAATGGCCACACAATAAGTGTCACGGCTCGACACACCAATTGCTTAATAGTTTCAAACTGCAAAAAAAAAATAAATAAATAAATAAAAGACACTGCTTGCTGCTTCGTTGATTGTTCAAATTACTTACAATGGGTTTTTGTAAATCACCCAGAATTAGCCAGAGTTCATTAGCCGTGTGTAGACCTACAAGTAGAACTACAAAAAGTCCTACAAATTTAACACTTATTGTACATGACAACATCGTGCCTGTAAAAAAGAGCCACATCCACCATTGCCATGTATAGGAGAGTCCATTATGCGTTGTCTTCGATACTTTAACCATTCCCCAAACCGATGCAGTCATGAAGAATAGTAAAATGGGATCCAATAGTATATACTGATTTAGAGTGAGCAGGCCAACGTCTGAAATCATAAATTTTTTGATAGTATTATAAATAATATAGCTGTAGAACTTTGTGTAACAATTAATAAAACTCACCAAATATTAAATAACCTGCTGCGACAATAGCCGCTTCTACTGATCGTGTTAAATCGTGTACAGTATCGAAAGCCATAGGCATAATCAAAGCTCCCAGTGTAGTGCAGAACTTGAAAGAAAAAAATATATATTTATTGTATGTACATTATGACTTTTTGCAAATATCAAAGCAAGGCGTTTAAGTTTTGTATAAATATTACTTTTTCTATGTGAGAAAAATAAATATTTTTGATAACATTTTTGCATTTGTATTACACTATTTTAAAGAGAACATTCTTCTTTAAACCCCAGTTAAGAAATTTTTAACAAATCGCGATAACATTGCATGTTATAGATAATAGTATAGGTTTATATGAAAATTATTAAAATAATTTTAGTAAAAATAATGAACAAAAGCATTTTAGAAATTGCGTTCGGTGCGGGAAGTTTTTTAACCGAATTGACTTAAAAAATATCCTTTTATTATCAGGACAGTATTGGCTATAAAGCTTGCCTCCCAAAAAAAGTAATCACACTAATGAACATATATGAGCAATTATCAAAGGTTTTTTTTAATTTTAGAGTTAAAAAGAATCAAAAAAATTTGATGCCACATTCAAAATATTTTGTGTGAATATAATCATGAGGATCCGCCTATATTTAAAAGTCAACGATACGCCCATATTTCGGCCAATAAAAGGAAATATATATGAAAATCACTCAATCGTCAATAAATTGCATAAATATATAGGATTTAAAGTCAAATCCGACATTACATTATTAATAAATTAATTTTTACATGAAATGTATAAAATCTTCAAAAAAATCAATTGCATTTTAATTTTCTTCAAAAAGCTAGATTTTTTTAGGTTTTTCATTAATCGCAGATGATTTTCATATACATATGTATATTATTTATAATAGGTGATGCTATATAACATCCAAAGGATTAGCCTGGGCTCTTGAAATTTAATGTAGAAAAAATCCGCATTTTGAAGTGCTAGAAAATGTTAATTAATTTCGTATATATCTTCTTTTGAAAAATATATAACACATAATTGAACTTTAATGAAAAGTATAAAAAATCACATTCAACTTTGAGCTTCAAAATACTTTTCAATATCTAATATTCAAACTTTATTTTCTTGTACTTATAATTGATGCGTTAAAACAAAAAAACTTTTTATATATTAGTGTAGTACGTTATCTCAGCTTTCGGAAATATAATAATCTAAACTTTGCAAAAATCACTGTCGATAAGAAAATTAATAAAATCTTCCATTGTGCGATGGGCCAATTATGGACCAATCCGATCCTAAAATTTTTTCATGTCGAGTTTTATCACTATATTAGTATTTTTTAAACAGTTATACGGAGCTATACAAAAAGTGAACCAATATTGTCTGTCCATTGTCCATGTCAGGTCGAACCCTATCATGCTTTTAATAGACCGACGGACATGGTGGATATAATAAAACACAGCTTAAAACAAGAGTATATTTTTTACTACACCTATGTAGATATAGAGCATTTTTTGTTAAATTCCATTTTATATTCATTGAAATAATAATATTTTTATTAGTTCGTTAAACAATGTGCAAAAAATAATTTTTGTTCGTTATTAAAGGTACACAAACAGGAAAAATTTAAACGTGATGTTCATAGAAATATATGAATGATTGTTAAATCGAAAAACTACTGCAACTTTTTGGTCGGAGCAATGACGATATGTATGTATGTATGTATGTTTCATTTTATTTGTCAAGTGAAATTGAACCTAAATTCAAGATGTACATTAATTATTGAAATTTTGGTTGAAATTAAAACCATTTTAAAACTCATAGTTTTTTTGTATACATCACATCAGTACAGATTTCCATCATTCTACATCAATGATTAAATTATTTTTCATACAATTTATAGTTTCACAATGAACTTTTATTTTTTTTTTTAATTTACTCACATAGCGCATGCCTTCATAGTGTGTTCCATTATACTTATCACCGGGCTTTTCAAACGGATAAGTTCCATTATAGCCAGTCAAATAGCCCGATAAACCGATTAACATCTAGAATGGTATTAATTCACATACATATATTTAAAACAAATTATTTCGCTGTAGTAAATAGAGGAGTACATATAAGATTATTATACGTACCTTCCCCAATGGTGGATGCACATCAAAGAAAAATGTACGATTAATATACCAACTGCCCATTTTTCCAAAGTGAGTTTCATCCCAACTATAAACATAAAGTTAATTTCAGAAATATTTTTTTTTATTTATAAAATAACAACTTACCATACATGGTCTGGCTCAGTTACTTTATAATATCGGGTAGCAATGGTTAAAAGTAAAACCGTAGCAAAAATAATCCACCAATTTCTACGAAAACATTGAAAAATAATTTCAATTAGATAAACACACATATTTTGAAAACTATGTAATTATTAATTGCATATAAACATTTGTTTGCTATTTTGTGCCTTAAAAATAAATTGATCATACATTGTTTGTGTCTTAAGTCTTTTGTTTTCATTGTTTTTTCACTTTAATAACTTACAATTTTTCATTATTGTACTGCAATAGAAATATTTTACCCTCGTTTTTTGAGGTTTTCTCAACAATTTGTTTCATTTTTTCACTTTTTATATTAATTTTCTTCTTACAATTAAAAAAATAAATATTTAAATACTTTCAGACTTTCTTCATGTTTCTTGTTGGACAACTTTTATTTAAATAAGAAAACGACTGACTGACTAACTGCCACGATTACACTAAAATTTCTTATATGAAAATATTTTTGTTGAAGGCATTTCTTCATGGGTTTTGTTATGATATAAAAAAATAACAATTTTTTTTAAGAAAAAAACTCGAAAAGAAGAGTAAAAGAGAGAATAATAATAACGAAACAACAAGAAAACTTCTTATAAGAGCGTTAAAAAAAGAAAACAAAACGATCATTCTCCACGACCAGGTAAACAAACTAAATATGTAGGTTTATGTGCATATGTTCTTATACATTATCTATGTATAGTGCTGCCAACACAATTCATACAAAACAAATTGTACGAAACTTGAAAACAACACGCTTATTTGATTATGTAATTCCTACTGGTATTTGTATGCCACTTGATTACTTCACTGTCGTAAAGGTTTGAAACGAAATATGTTGAAATGAAAATACATATTTAAGTGCCTATACTAGTGTTTTTCACGGGAATTACGCAGAATTTTCAATCCCGAAATCCCGGGAAATTGTGCGGAAATTCCCGGGAATTATTTTCCTTAGTATTATGTGATATTTTTGAAACAAATTTTGTTTACAATAAATATATCGCTTTGTAGTGTTAAATTCAGGCACCTGTAGTTTGAGTGCGAGGTTTATATAGAGGGACTGATTTTCTGAAATTTGCCGTTTTTGTGAAATACTAGTATATTTGATAAATTTATTGAAATAATGAATCCATATTAACCATTGGGTAAAGGAGGAGTATTTGCAAAATTTCATCACATTGTCTTCAAAATTGACACCTGTAGTTTGATTGCAGACAGGGCCGAGTGGTATACTTTACGGTGGGTGTAGGGACAATATTCTTATTAATTACAAGTATCAGTTAAAATTAATTATACAATCCTCACTATAGTGTAGGGAATAAAAATCATTCCTATAGAAATGTTTCAGGTTTGATCTGCCTTACAATTAAAGAAAGGATACTGGTATCCCTTAATATAAAGTTATGCCACATTTCATAATTCAAAGACAAGCTTATCGCAAAAGAGTAAGCAAAAGAGTTCTCGTTTGAAAGGATTAAAATAATATATTTCCGAGACATAGGTGACTCTTATACGACTTCATTACGATAATCCAGTTAATTTTAATTATAAATATTCCATTCCGACGTGATACACAGATTTTAACTTAATTTTGTTGGCTAATATTATTAAATTAACAGCAGAAAATACAGAGCGTTTCTCGTAATTAGTCAAAACCACGCAGTAAAGTTATTCGTAGATATTTTAAGATTTAAATTTAAGCTCCAAATATACAGTAATACCGGAAAGGGTCCTCATATTATTTTCCCGAAAACTTAGCTTACATACTAAGTTCACCCCTCTGCAATAGCAAAAAATTTTAGAAACGTGGATCTTTAAGCACATGTCTACAATACTTGTTAAAGAAACCTTTTCGCTACGTTTACGAGAAATGAAAATTAAACATCATGTTAACATTTCAACAAAGAAGTATTTCGATCTTCAAATCCATGCAATTGTAAACCTCTCTGAAACATTAAATTCTCAACGTACGGGAATATTCTATTCTTTATATTTATTTGACCAAGGGATTTTCGGATGAACAATAAGATATCAAAATATGTATGGTGGTTCGTGAAATTAAATAAATTCTTCAAGGGGTCCGCGAAGTAAACAGTGGGAACCGCTGATCTAATTAATGTAAAAAGTCCAGACTAAAATTTTGGAACACTATTTTTACGAACATCGATTTAAAAAAAACGGTTCTCGGTTTATTACTTTTCTTAAAAAATCTGCGTTTTCTCTATTAATAAAATTAAAAAATTGTTACTTTGAAAAAAAAAAAAAACACAAAGTAACAATTCAGAATATAATATGTAATAATTCTTTTGTTTATATAATTCCATTTTGATTCCTGTTAAAAATGTTCTTTATTATATGTATGTATGTTTTATTTAAGAAAATCGTACTATTTATTAATGTATTAGAAACAGGCCACTATCGGGCCTGTTGTGCGCTGCTTTTCATGGAAGAAAAAAGTTTGTTGGTAAAATAAACAACATAGTGTCCACTGAACATATTATCTTTCAACATTCTTGAACTCTGTTTCCTGGCCGTCATTCCTAAGAATTTCCCAATATATATAGCCTTCCAATATGTCCAGTACACATATAACCGCTTTTGGCCAGTTCACCTAAAGTTATGAGACGTTCGCTTGTAAGTGCCGCCTCAAATCTTAAATATGTTTCAATGGGCGGAATATCTAGCAACGTTTCTAGGGCCTTGCTTGACGTTGTGCTTCTGGCATCATTTTTACCCAAGCAGCATGTAAGCTGAACTCCCTGTTGTATTTTGATATTACACTTTTTGTACAAAGAAGTCAAAACATTTATAAAACCAATACGTCAAAGTAGGACTAAGTCCACATTTCATGCTTATAGTTCTCTTACATATCGCCCATGTTGTGTCTGCTTTTTAATTTTCGGCGGAGGGTTACACTCTGTCTATCACCGGTATCTTCTTGCAGAATATTTAGCAATTTGTTCCAGGAGCTGTAACAATGTAGGGCACAAATGCAGTAGAATATATCAGCGAGTATTGATTGATATGTAAATTCAAAGAGCTTGATTATACTTACTTGTGAACCTGCAGCCTTGTTGTTGTTTAAATAAATAAAAGAAGGAACTTCTACTTTGTTTTTAAATGTTTTTATTTTTGCGAACAGTTTATGTTTTTTGTGATATATGTTTTGATTGTAACAATTGGAAAGTAAGTTTGTACTTCACTATCCGTGATACATACATACATACACACATGCATACATACATACATCATACATACTACATACATACATACACAGACATACATACATACACAGACAGACAGACAGACAACAGACAGACAGACAGACAGACACAGACATAGACAGACAGACAGACAGACAGACAGAAAGACAGATACAGACAGACAGACAGACAGACAGACAGACAGACAGACAGACAGACAGACAGACAGACAAAGACAAGACAGACAGACAGACAGACAGACAGACAGACAGACAGACAGACAGACAGACAGACAGACAGAAAGACAGACAGACAGACAGACAGACAGACAGACAGGACAGACAGACAGACAGACAGACAGACAGACAGACAGACAGACAGACAGACAGACAGACAGACAGACAGACAGACAGACGACAGACAGACAGACAGACAGACAGACAGACAGACAGACAGACAACAGACAGACAGACAGACAGACAGACAGACAGACAGACAGACAGACAGACAGACAACAGACAGACAGACAGACAGACAGACAACAGACAGACAGACAGACAGACAGACAGACAGACAGACAGACAGACAGACAGACAGACAGACAGGACAGACAGACAGACAGACGACAGACAGACAACAGACAGACAGACAGACAGACAGACAGACAGACAGACAGACAGACAGACAGACAGACAGACAGACAGACAGACAGACAGACAGACAGACAGAAGACAGACAGACAGACATACATACAGACAGACAGAAGAGACAAAGACAGACAGACATACAGACAGAACAGACAGCAGACAGACGACAGACAGACATACAACAGACCAGACAATACAGACGACAGACAGGACAGACAGACATACAACAGACAAACATACATACAACAGACAACATACATCACATCAGACAACAACAGACATTACAGAAACAGAAAACATACAGATCAACAGACAGACAGACTACAATACATAAATACATACATACATACATACACAGACAGAATACATACATACATACACAGACATACATACATATACATACATACATACAACATACATACATACATTACATACACCATAAATACACATACATACATACATACAGACATACATACATACATACATACATACAATACATACATACATACATACATACAACATACATACATACATACATACATACATACTATACAATAATTCGAACAATTTTTGTCCATTAATCGAATAATACTTCAATGTAACTTTTACGAAAATTTTATTATACATATTTGCTATTTTGTAAAACTAATCTTATATATAAAGTTGGCTCGAGTTTTAAATTTATAGGCATTTAAAGTTTTGCATATTTTGTGAAAAATTGTTCTGATATGTATTCTATATGTATGTAATCCAATAAGTCAATATATAAATTACTCAATTACTTAAGGTCTAAGATATTTAAATTTATTAGTGTTTATACCTTGTGGGCTTTTATTTCCTTTTTATTTTAAAAGTTGTTAGTAGATGCTCTACTTTCAAATTTTATTTGATTTATAAACAAATAAAATTAAAAATTTTTAAAATTGTACGAAAGTAAAATGGATTAGTTTACTAAAATTAGATTTTCTATGGATCCCTTCATGGTCCAACTCTGATTTTTTGAGATATTGTTGTTGATATTGTAAACCAATTTCAGTAAAGGAATAATTAAAATGGGAGTTACCGTTTTAAGATATCCTTGACTCAAGTACATTTTTTGATGTCATTATCCTTATTTTAAAACCTTAAAATTCAAATAAAGTATTGTCAAACTACAACACATAAGCATTAATTACAGTCTAAAAAGATTAAAATCGGATAAATATGTTAGAATATATACATGATCAAATTTAATCCTTTTTAGAAAAACTCTTAGAAATATGAACTTTGAACCTCGATAAAATCAAAACCGTAACTAATAAAAGAGTTTCACCGAATTTATACCGAATATCACCATAATTAGAGCTCAAAATTTTTTTGATATTACATATGAGAAAATTGTCCTAAAAAGCTAAGTTTAAAATGCTTATAAATTAATAATACGAGCCAACTTTTTAAAGCCCTTTAGGGAATTGGGACCATTAATTGTCTGCTTTCATTTCCCGTTGGTCTTTACCGAAAATTTGTTACATAGTGTTAGAGACCGATTGTAAAAAGTTACGAAGTATTGTGTGTTTAAGTGATTTTCGGTGACTTTGTATGGGAGCTACCAC